TCTAGGCTTTGTAGTTTATGGTGAGGGTGAATTAATCACTGGACACTGCGAGCATGCTGTCTGGACACTTGGGGACCTCGTGGTTCAGGTTAAGATTTTAACTCAGGAAAGCAGCTGTGAAAAGTCTGAAACTCACTGTCACTAGGAAAAGCTCAGAACTGTGTTCAGTGCTCATCTTCCTTCCTCTGGGACCCACCGTTACCTAGAGGGTCACTGTTCCTTTTCTCCTTCAGGACTCATCTGCAATGGGAAAGCGTCAAAGTCCAGGGCCCAGCATTTCAGTATTTGCCTCCTGCCTTCAGGACCCTCTGGGCCTGGGAAGGGGTAAATGATTTTGGTGGAGATGCTGGGGATGAGCCTGGGAAAGGACCAAAGTTTGCTCAGGGCCCATTATTACTGGGAAAGGATGTATTGGGAGAGGTTTAATATTTGGCTAATATTTGTGTGTGTGTGTGTGTGTGTATCAGGATTTGAACTTTCCCCTTCCTCCTCTGAGTCACACTGTCCCTCCTTTTTTTTTTGAGAGGGGGAGCACTATCTTGTTGGAATATTATTTTCCATAACCCTTCAAAAACTACAAAAATAATTGCCTATGAAATGGTATTTAAAAAACTAATCAGGGTTCCCAAAGCCGATGTCTAGCTGTGTTTGTCCAGGATTTGTTTGAAGTCAGGCTATGGAGGAAACCACAGAACGGACAGTTTATTGTGTTAAGGTGGACGACAGAAGAACCAAGTGAAAAGGAAAATCAGACTGCTTCACAGTAAATCTGATCACACATGTGTGTGACAAAAGGCGTGTCTAGCTCGCTGTGGAGCCTACATCCTAGTCCTGCTACCCCGGACACTGGGGTCGGATCACAAATTCCAGGCCAGCCTTAGCAACTCTGTAAGACCTGCCTCGGCCTGGGGTGCGCTCACGGGACAGCACTTGCCTAGCACGCATCGAACCTCGATCCCGACGAGGTTCGGGCGGGGAAACGGGAATCTAGCTCAGGTGGAGCCTCCCCAGGTTCAACCCCTGGAAAAAAAAATGAATAAAACAGTAAGAGGACGGAAAAATGTCCCATCTGGAATGAACGCCTGCACTGCGGCCCCGCGAGCACCCGCCCACAAAAGCACCGCCCCGCCCACGGGCGAACCCGGAAGCCGGCTCCAGAGGCCAGCCGGCCAAGGGCTGAGCCGGGGCGCACCGGAGAGCTACGCCCTCCCCCGGTCGGAGAGGGGAAAGCAGGGTCGCGGGAGCCTTCGTTGCTTAGGCCGAAAGGACGACAAAACTTCCGGAAGTCGTAGTCCCTAGGCCCGGAAGGAGGCCGGACAGCCGGGAGTCCTAGTCCCCAGGCCCGGAAGGAGTCCTTAGTTCCCGGGCCCGGAAGCGGGCCGGACCGCCGGAAACTGGGTCTGCCAAGCCCGGGTCTCAGGGTGCAGTGTTCTCCACGAGACGGAGAGCTGGGCCGGCGCCATGGCGGGGCTGGAGCTCCTGTCTGACCAGGGTTACCGGGTGGACGGTCGTCGCGCCAGGGAGCTGCGCAAGATCCAGGCGCGCATGGGCGTGTTCGCGCAGGCCGACGGCTCGGCCTACATCGAGCAGGGCAACACCAAGGCGCTGGCAGTGGTCTACGGGCCGCACGAGGCGAGTGTGCCGCGTGGGATCGGCGGGGTGCGGTCGCGCCTCCCGTTTACGCAACGAATGCTCGAAGCCGCATATCGGCTGAGTAAATGCCCAAGTTCTTAAGGTGCATCTCTGGGTATGTCCTTCTCTCTCCTGCGCCCTGCTCTCCCCTGTCGGGTTCCTCATCGTGCCAGGCACTCGCCCATTCGGTCACTTCCCCGCTGTTCTCCTCCGTCATGTTTGGGAAGCTGCCGCTCCAGGCCACAACACGCTCTGATGCCTTTGTGTCTACCACCCGAACGTCAGCTCTACTTAATCTTACTCGTTTGTCTTCCCACGAGAACATAAACTCTCTGAGAGCAGCGACTTTAAATAAATAAAACTCTGATTTTATTGCTTCGTTCTACGTTATAACAGTGCCTCCCCAACGCAGAGATAATTTTTAATTGCTTAGCAAATTAATGTGGGAGCCCAACTTTCTAGGTGAAAGAAGCCAGGATAAAGGCAATGGGTAGAAACAAACATGGCACTTCTGCAAAGCCGAAAGAATGACGGTGGAGGGAGAGGAGATAATTCCAAATAACGGTTTCCAGGGAGGTGAGGGCCTAGGGCTTTGTAGACTGGGGAAAAGATTTGGGATTTTATTTCCTGCATAAAGAAGCCTTTAGTAGTTAAGTAGAATGTGAGTGTGTGATGAGACAGAATCGGCCTGATGTTTTTAAACATACTGTGGCCACCACTTGGAGGAGTTGGGAAGAAATGAGGTGAGGCATGCACGCCAGAGGTGATGATGGCCTAGACTGACAAATGGATCTCCCTTGAATTTTTGGAGATAAGGTTGCTGCCACTCTCTTGAGAAGGAGAAAGTCTCTTGAAAGGACTAGGGAGGGGCTGGGGATGTGGCTCAAGTGGTAGCGCGTTCGCCTGGCATGCCTGCGGCTCAGGTTCAATCCTCAGCACCACATACAAACAAAGATGTTGTGTCCGCCATTAACTAAAAATTAAATATTAAAAATTCTCTCTCTCTCTCCCCCTGTCTCTTTCTAAAAAAAAAAAAAAAAGGACTAGAGAATGTGAGCTGGGAGGGTAGGCTTGACTTATGCATCCTTTCTCTTCTAGATCCGGGGTTCCAGGTCTCGAGCCCTGCCTGACCGGGCTCTGGTGAACTGTCAATATAGTTCAGCAACCTTCAGCACAGGTGAGCGCAAGCGGAGGCCACATGGAGACCGTAAGTCCTGTGAAATGGGCCTACAGCTGCGCCAGACCTTTGAGGCAGCCATTCTTACTCAGCTGCACCCACGATCCCAGATTGACATCTATGTGCAGGTGAGCTGGCTGCAGTTTTCAACCCACTGAGGGAAGGGAACTGGAGGATGGAATGGCAGTTTAATGGACTGATAACAGCGTGGGGGGGGGTCCTTACAGGTGCTGCAGGCTGATGGTGGAACCTACGCAGCTTGTGTGAATGCCGCCACGCTGGCAGTGTTGGATGCTGGGATACCCATGCGGGACTTTGTGTGTGCATGTTCAGCTGGTTTTGTGGAAGGCACAGCCCTGGCAGACCTCAGCCATGTGGAGGAAGCAGCTGGTGGTCCCCAACTAGCCCTGGCCCTGCTGCCAGCCTCAGGCCAGATCGCGCTGCTTGAAATGGATGCCCGGCTGCATGAGGACCACTTGGAGCAGGTGCTTGAGGCCGCCGCCCAAGCAGCTAGAGATGTGCACACCTTGTTGGACCATGTGGTACGGCAGCATGTGCGTGAGGCATCTATCTTGCTGGGGGACTGAACACCCAGCCATTTTTGTCCAGAATAAAGTCCTGCTCCTCTGCTCATCACTCTTTGCTGTATAGCACTTGCAAACAGTTTGGCTCTGGGGAATGACTGGGGAGCCAACTCCACACATGAACTATATCTCTTGTGGCCTCAGGACTCAAACCTCCAGAAGGATAGAGAGGGTGGTGTGGGGGTATCTGGGTGGAGAAAGCAATCTGTTGGTGAGAGGTGAGAAAAATCAAGCCTCAGACCAAGGAGTTTGCCATCCTCAGTCCAGTCCCTTCAGAACCTAAGTACAAGGATTAAAAGAAACCTTGACTGGCTATAGGTAGGGCTGATGCCTCCCCCTAGGAGCACCTTGGGCCTTTTCCTACTGCTTACCTTGGGCTCTAAACTACAGTAGACTCCTCTGCTCACTTGATCTTTTCTCCTTAGTTTCGACATTTTCCCCAGCCTAAAACTGTACCCCCTTCAGCAAGCTCCCCTTCAAACACCGCCTGCGTTGGCCACCAACTCTCCTACTATGCCAGGGACTTGCTGGCCTGGACAAAACAGTACGCTCCTTACTAGCTACTCCATATACACGGGCCTGCCTTATTAGTAGATTTGCATCTTCCCTGTGGGTCTTATATCTACCCATGAAGACCTTAGTTCAGAACCCAAGTGACACCACTGTGATTTCATTTCCAGTGACTGACATCCATAAGAATGATTCTTAAACGCCTGAACCTCAGTCCACACTGTAGTCAGTCACAGCCTCTCTGGCAGGCGTGGTGCTCTGAGCACCTCCACCTACCTTCCCTGACATTTGTCTCCGACTTATGTGAACCTTCCAACGGGAGCTTTATCACTGCTCCGGATACCCTGGTATCGGCATTGTCTCTGCTCCCTTCCGGAGGTCGATCCCTGAGACTAGACTCCAGTCGCACAGGTTCCGGCTCCCTGCTGGTACTGCGCAGGGTCGGTCCAGCCCTTCCGGATGCCGATCCCGGAGACCAGACTCGAGTCGCTCAGGTTCCGGCTCCCTGCAACCCTAGGGCCTCCAGCAGCCGAGCTGGAGAAAGGTTCTTTGCGCACGCGCAGCGGCGCGAATTTCAGTGGGACCGGAAGTGCGGCTGGGTTTGGGTTCGGGGTCTGACAGGAGCAACTCGCGCTCCGCGGCTGGAGCTGGCTGCGAGAGCAGGGTCCCGCGTCGCCCTCCCGCCATGGGCCTCCTGTCGGACCCCGTGCGCCGGCGCGCGCTGGCCCGTCTCGTGCTGCGCCTCAACGCGCCGCTCTGGTGAGGGTGGGCTGGGCTGGGGTCCCTGCGCTGCTCGCGCCCGTCTCCTTCGGTCCACGTCCCGCGGGGGATGCGGGGACCCGGAGTCTAGGTTTCCAGGCCCCTCCCACCTGCCCGTTCGATCCCTGGTTTGGAGCTGGTGGCCACAGTCGGCGTCCCAGATCACGCTAACTCTCCGGCTGCTCCCTCTGACCTCTCGCAGCGTGCTGAGCTACGTGGCGGGCATCGCCTGGTTCTTGGCTCTGGCCTTCCCGCCGTTGACCCAGCGTACTTACATGTCGGAGAACGCCATGGGATCCACCATGGTGGAGGAGCAGTTTGTGGGCGGAGACCGTGCCCGGGGCTTTGCCCGCGATTTCGCTGCCCACCGCAGGAAGTCGGGGTGAGCCGCAGAGCAGCGGGTATGGGAAAAGTAGTGGTGTCCAAGGCCAGGGAGCTCCGTTCAGAGGCTGTCTTTGTGTCTCCAGGGCTCTGCCAGTGGCCTGGCTGCAGCGGACGATGCGTACAGTAGGGCTGGAGGTCTACACGCAGAGTTTCTCTCGGAAACTGCCCTTCCCGGATGAGACCCACGAGCGCTATGTATTGAGGAAGGGTGGGGGTGAGGGGGTGAGGGTGCTTGGGATAGAAAAGCGCTTTGAAGGGGTCATCTGGGGCCAAGAATCCTGGGAGGGATGATCTGGGGCCAGGGAAATCCCTGCTGTGCAGATTGTAGGGCCAAGGAAAGGTGGTGGTGGAGGCTTTGACTTTCTACACTAGGGTTTCTCTGAGGCTCCTTCACCAATGCATTGTACAGATGGTATCAGGCACCAACGTGTATGGCATCCTGCGGGCCCCACGTGCTGCCAGCACCGAGTCTCTGGTGCTCACTGTACCCTGTAACTCTGACTCCACCAATAGCCAGGCTGTTGGACTGCTGCTAGCACTTGCTGCCCATTTCCGAGGTGAGACTCCAGGGCTGCTGCCCAGGGAGGTTTTGGCCAGTGCTTCAGTCCTGCTTACCTTATGTCTGACCTCCAGGGCAGATTTACTGGGCCAAAGATATCATCTTTCTGGTGACAGAACATGATCTTCTGGGCACTGAGGCTTGGCTTGAAGCCTACCACGACGTTAATATAACTGGTAGGTGCTCTTGTCTTCTCCTGGTCTCTCTCGGGGTCAACTGTTCTCACCAGTGTCTCCTCTGGTGTTTATTTGCTTGCCCCTACAGGCATGCAGTCATCCCCGTTGCAGGGCCGGGCTGGAGCCATTCAGGCAGCTGTGGCCCTGGAGTTGAGCAGTGATGTGGTTACCAGCCTTGATGTGACTGTGGAGGGTCTCAATGGACAGCTGCCCAACCTTGACCTGCTCAACCTTTTCCAGACCTTCTGCCAGAAAGGGGGGCTGCTATGCACACTTCAGGGCAAGGTTTGACCACCTGCTGAAGTATAGGGCCTTTGGTGAGGGGTTTATCTAATCCTGTTCCCATCCCTACTCTGCCCTCTCACCATCCCTCCAAAGCTTCAGCTCCAGGATTGGACAACGCTGGATGGGCCATTGCAGGGCCTGCAGACACTGCTGCTGATGGTTCTGCGGCAGGCCTCTGGCCGCCCCCATGGCCCTCATGGCCTCTTTCTGCGGTACCGGGTAGAGGCCCTGACCCTTCGGGGCATCAATAGCTTCCGGCAGTACAAGTATGACTTGGTGGCTGTTGGCAAGTAAGTAGCCTCTGATTCCCTCTTTGCGTTCTCAGGGAAGCGTCCAACTGGTCCACGGAGGGAGTGACTGACTTTGTCCTGCTATGCACCTGACAGGGCTCTGGAGGGCATGTTCCGAAAGCTCAACCACCTGTTGGAGCGCCTACACCAGTCATTCTTCTTCTACCTGCTTCCTGCTCTATCTCGCTTTGTCTCCATTGGTCTCTACATGCCTGCTGCTGGCTTCTTGCTCCTGGTCCTTGGTCTCAAGATATCCTCTGTCCCCCAACTATTCACTCATGGACAGCCTTGGAGCCCCTCAACTCTGCATCATCCTACTCTGGGATTGGGGTGGGAAAGTCCTGGGTTCCCCACCTGGCAGATCTGATCACACTGTCATTGAGGTCCTTGACTTGGGCCATGCTCTGGAGCTGTGGATGCAGCTGCATGAAGCTGGAGTGGGCTCTGAAGAGGCTGGAGGTGCTCCTGGACCAAGTACCCAATTTCCCCCAGCACAGGTGATGATGCCCCTATCTGCTGTTGGGTGGGCTTCTAGGATCCTGAGTAGTGTCTTCTACTGCCACTCAATCTCAGCTGGAATAGTGGTTTTCTGGTCCCAGGGCCTATCTCAAGGTGCCCGTATACTATACCCTGCAGGGTGTGGGGCTGGCCTCGCTTGTAGCACCCCTGCTGATCTCTCAGGCCATGGGCCTGGCCCTCTACATCCTGCCTGTGTTGGGTCAACATGTGGCCGCCCAACACTTCCCAGTGGCTGAGGCTGAGGCCGTGGTGCTGACACTGCTGGCAATTTATGCAGCTGGCCTGGCTCTTCCTCACAACACCCACCGGTGAGTGACTAGGCTTGGGCAGGTGGCACAGGGCCCCCCTGGACATGTAGGCAGTTCTTGGGCTTCCTCTGAGCCTTTTGCCTTTTAGGGTAATGAGCACACAGGCCTCAGACAGGGGATGGATGGCACTGAAACTGGTGGCTCTGATCTACCTAGCACTACAGCTAGGTTGCATCACCCTCACCAACTTCTCCCTGGGTTTCCTGCTAGCTGCCACCATGGTACCTGCTGCTGCACTTACCAGACCCTATGGGCCTCGGTATGTACTCATCAGCCCCCACCTCCCCCAGTGCCTGTGCCCTTCACCCAGAGTCCTTTGTCATTCTGTTCTCTGTCCCCACCATCTGTGGAACATACCCTGACGATGCCTCTCCCACCCAGGCCACTCTATGCTGCCCTACTGGTGCTGACAAGCCCAGCAGCCATGCTCCTGGGCAGCCTGTTCCTGTGGCGGGAGCTACAGGAGGCACCGCTGTCACTTGCTGAGGGGTGGCAGCTTTTCCTCGTGGCACTGGCCCAGGGCGTGCTGGAGCACCACACCTATGGTGCCTTGCTCTTCCCACTGCTCTCCTTGGGCCTGTACCCTTGTTGGCTGCTCTTCTGGAATGTGCTCTTCTGGAAGTGAGGTCTGCTACCTGGGCACAAAGGCTGGGGCAGGGCTCTCCAAGCCCTCACCATTTTTCCTCCTCCCTGGGAAATAAACAAGTGTCTGTTTCAGCTGTTGTTTGGGCTTCTGGCCCATTGGCCTTGTGGGGAACCCATTCTCACACACCTCGGCCCCGGGAAGATACATCCAGCCCATTGTGCTCTGTGAATCAACTGTCACTGCAGGGCCAGAAACAAAGCTGGGATGAGGAAATTCTCGGGAGCCTGATGGGAGCAGGAGCACCCAGAGACCACCCCATGCCATCTTCAATGCTGGGGCTAAGTGGGCAAAGGGGTTGGAGCCCCACAGAGGAGGCTCAGGGTTCAGGCCATGTGCCCAACCAAGGCCAGAACATATGGGCTTTATATGAACACTGTTGGAGCAACCTAAGTAAAGTGCCTACCAGGAGCAGGGCAGCAGCATAGTTTGGCAGAAGCAATCTTTGAAGCCCAGTCAGTACCCAGGAGCAACAGGCTATGGGGGATGGTCCTGACAAGCAGCACAGAGAAGCAGATTATTGTACTAAGACCCTAAAAGGAACTTCAGAGTCCATCCTGGAGGAAAAGAGTGTGCCCTTTGGTGAACTCAGGGCCATGTGGTGCTGAGGCTGGAGAAATGTCAGGGAAAGACAAAAGTACTTGACCAGACACAGCCACATACAGGCATCTTTAGAAAGTGGGCGTGACTACTTTGCCTAGAGAAGTGGAAGGATCCATCTAGTCAGCTCAGGGCCAACCACCCCTAGTGTCATGTCCCTGAGCAGCATGTGATCTGGAAGATCTTGAGGGGAGCACCCTGCCTGTACCCCACCCTCAGGGCTCCTCTTCCTCTGTGGTAGGACCTAGACTTCCCTTGAGAGGCTTCTCTACCCTGGGGCTTGTTGTCTCAGCTCCACAGGTGGGAACCAGACCCTGAAGAGTTTCTGAGTCCTCCAGAGGAAGCTGCTGATCCCCTTGTTGGGTACAGGTCTATACCCTGTGTGCAATGAGGAGTGGGGAAACCCCACTGTGACAGGTGGCCTCATCACTGACTTGAGTCTTTAACCCCTTGTTTCCAAGGCCAGAATCTCCAAAGGACTAAGGCCAGGTAGAGACCTGTGGACTCCAACCCAATCCTCTCATTTTCCTAGGAGTACCTCCCAGGGAAACATCCTAGGCTCTCCTCTGCTACAGGGAGATTCAGTCCTTTGTGTGTCTTTGTGAGCAGTTGTGTGATAGAAAATTCCCTTCCTGGTGTTTTAACAGGTCTTTGGCCTCAGTTGTTATTAACTGGGCAATGGCAGTCTCTTAAAGCATAAATGGAAATTGAACCATGACACATATAGGTGGGAAGAAAACTGATAGATCAACCTACCTGTGCTCTGGATACATCCCAGCAGAATCATGAATTATTCCTCTATTGAGAGGGAACTCTAGAATGTACTAAAAAAAAAAAAAAAAAAAAAAAAAAAGGAAAAGAAAAGGCTGGTGTTGCTTCCTCTTCAAAAAACAGTCTGGGTGTGATGGTGCATACCTGTAATGCCAGCTACCAGTTACTAGGGGAGCAGAGCAGGAGAAATCAGGAATGTGGGGCCAGTCTGGATAATAAGAAAGTGCTGGCCCCAGGCTGGAGCTCAGTGGTAGAACACTTGCCTCACACGCGTGAAGGCACTGGGTTGGGTCCTGAGCACCACATTAAAATAAGTAAAGATACTGCGTCCTAAAACTTAAAAAAAAAAAAAAAAAAGGAGGGGGGTCTGGGGTTGTGACTCAGTGGTAAAATGCTTGCCTTGCACGAATGAGACCCTGGGTTCGATCCTCAGCACCACATAAAAATAAGTGAAATAAAGGCATCGTGTCCAACTATAAGTAAAAAATTAAAAATATTTTTTTTAAATTAGGAAAAAAAGTGCTAAGGATGTGACTCAGTTGTAGAAATACTTGCTTACAGCACAAGGCCCTGGATTCAGTTCCTAGTGCCACACACACAAATCTGTAGTGGAAATATAAAATGGGAGTGAAGTCTTAAATGTGTCTTTTGGGGCTGTGACAGTACTTGTATCTCTGGTATCTCTTTTTGGCTGTCCTGATTGAAGATAGTCCCAGATCTTCAGCTAGGCATCACTGGGTTATGCTATGGATGATTGGATTCCCCTGCCCCTCCCCTAAGTACTAGAGATTGAAGCCAGGGTTGTTTTGTTTTGCTTGCAGTACTGGAAATTCAACTTGGGGCTTCACTCATGCTAGGCAAGTTCTCTACCACTGAGCTACACCCCAGCTCCATATATATAAGTAATATAGATAGTTTCTTTTTTTTCCCTTTTTTACTGGGGATTTAACCTAGAGTCTTGCACATGCTAGACAGGTGCTCTTTCACTGCGCTACATACCCAGACCTCCAGTGACACCTCTGAGCTACATCCTCAGCCCTTTATGTTTTATTTTGAGGCGGGGTCTTGTTAAGTTTCCCAGGCTGGCCTTGAATTTACGATTCTGCCTCATTCACCTGAGTCACTGGATCACAGATGTGCACCACCTGTGATTTATAAAGATGTGTGAGGATTCATGATTGCCAGCTGGGTGGCTTTAGAAGTGACCAGGCATGGGCCTGTGATCTCAACAACTCTGATTGATGCAGCACAATCACAGGTTTGAGGCCAGTCTAGGCAATTTAGGGAGATCCTATCTCAAAAAAGCGCTGGGATGTAGCTCAGTACTCCTGTTTTCAATCCCCCAGTACTGGGGTGGGGGTGGGGAGGTACTGAAGGGGCAAAGGTGATTGAGGGTATAATTCACTAGTAGAGTGCTTGCCTAACATGCAGGATACTGTGGGTTCCATTCCCAATATCACAAAAACAAAAACAGAAAGGGTAGCCTGGAATGAGTTCCTAGGGTCAGACAAGTATAATAACTGTCCACATTTTGCAAGTGGATATCAAAGAGGTTAAGCTACTTGGTCAAAGGCTTACAGCAGAATGTCATTTTAGTCTTGTTACACACATCTTGGATGCATGATAATTGGGTTTTTATTTTTTTTTTTTTTTTGATAATTGGGTTTTTAGTGAAAGTTTAAGAAGGTATCAGTTGAGTACTGTCTTGAAATTGATGAGATGGAAATTTAGGTTAAGTCTAGAGCACACTGTAAGTACACTCCTTTAGCCGTGTGTGTCTGTCTGTGTGTGTATGTGTGTATGTATGGTATGCAGAAGCACTGGAGATCGAACCAGGGTCCTGTGTTCATTAGCCAAATGCTCTATCACTGATCTAATCTCTGGCTCATCTTTGCCTTTCATTTGTTTGTTTTGGGTACCAGGGATTGAACCCAGGGGTGCTTAGACACTGAGCCACATCTCCAGCTCTTTTTTTTTTTTTTTCTCTGTGTGTGTGTGGTGCTAGGGATTGAGCCCAGGGCCTTGTGCATGCAAGGTAAGCACTTTACCAAGTGATATATATTCCCCAGCCCCCTTTTTATAGTTTATTTACACACAGGGTCTTGCTGAGTTGCTTAGGGCCTCCCTAAATTGCTGAGGCTGGCTTTGAACCTAGGAGCTTCCTCTCTGAGCCTCCTCCTGAGCTGCTGGAATTGCAGGCGTGTGCCCCCTTGCCTGTTGAGAGCCACAGCCGAGTTGGGATAGCGCCTAGCATTTTGCCAGTACTTTTGAGCTCTCACAGGGATTCCTGGAGAGTTCGAGGTTGAGCTGTCTCGGGGATTCCTGGAGAGTTCGAGTTGGTTGGTGAAGTTCCGGTGGTGGGAGTTCCAGTTGGTGGTGTGTTCCTGGAGGAGCAGCGTGGGTGGCTTTCGGGAGGGTTCCCAGGGAGCGTGTGTGGAGTGTGCTGGTGGAGTTCAGAAATAAAGTTTGTTCCTGCTTGAGTGGCTAGTGATTTGTGCCCAGCCAGACTGCGGCACATGCCCTACTCTTTAACAATTTATGATGTGTCTAGGTATGGATCTCTTTTAGTTTATACCACCTGGAGCTTGATCTTCCTGCCTGTGTAGATTCATGTTCTTCATGAAGTTTGGCAAGTTTTAGGATATTATTTAAGTATTGTTTCTTCCCCTTTCTCTTCTCTGACTCTGGAACTATCATTTATATGTTGGTACACTTAATGTTGAGCTGCAGATCTTTGAGGCTTGTTCATTTTTGTGTGTGTGTTTGTGGTGGGGGAGGTACTGAGGATTGAACCCTGGACCTGAAGCATGCTTGGCAAATACTCTACCACTGAATTAATCCCTGCCCTTTTTATTTTATTTATTTATTTTTGGTGCTGGGGATTGAACCCAAGGTTGTTCACCACTGAGATACATCTTTTTTTGTTGTTGTTTTATTTTTTTTTTATTTTTATTTTTTTTAAAGAGAGAGAGAGAGAGAGAGAGAGAAGAGAGAATTTTTTAATATTTATTTTTAGTTTTTCGGCGGACACAACATCTTTGTTTGTATGTGGTGCTGAGGATCGAACCCTGGCCACACGCATGCTAGGCAAGTGCGCTACCACTTGAGCCACATCCCCAGCCCCTTTGTTGTTGTTTTAGAGACAGGGTCTTGATAAATTGCCCTTGAACTTATGATCCTTCCGCCTCTCTCTCCCGAGTTGCTGGGATTATAGGCATGCACTACCAAGCCTGACTTAATTAAATTTTTTGAGACAGGGTCTTACTGAGTTTCCCAGGCTGGTCTCAAACTTTTAATCCTTCTACGTAAGCCTCCTGAGTAGCTGGAATTACAGGTGTGGGCCACTGCATCTGGCTTATTAATCCTTTTCTTTCTTTTTCTCACACTAGACAATCTCAATTTAACTAACTTCAATTTACCTTTATTCCACCTGCTTAAATCTGCTGTCGAGACCCTGAAATAAAATTTTAATTTCCATATTATACTATTCAACTCCAGTTTCTGACTCCCTTAGGTAATTCTGCCTCTTTATTTGACACTCACTCTTTAAAAAAAAAATTTGTTGTTGTTGTTTTAGTTGTAGTTGGACACAATACCTTCATTTTACTTTTATATGGTGCTAAGGATTGAACCCAGGGCCTTGCCTGTGTCGGGCGAACACTCTACTGCTAAGCCACAACTCCAGCCCCAACACTCCCTCTTA